GCTTTCAGGGTTCAAACAAAAGCAGCAACAGGCCGCCAACCGCTATCTAGCTGGCCAGAGGCGAAACGGTGCAGGTCTGGTTGTCATTGTTATTGCTTGTGTGTTCCAAACTTGTGAGTTGTTCCTCTTGTGGGTGTGGGTGTGCGCGTTTGCTATTGTCCTGGTTGATCACCCTGGCCGCCAGTGAGCTGGCCGCCAGCAGTGGTCTTGTTCGTTTGAGCTGGCCGCCAGGAGTTGTTCTTGTTGCTTGCGTCTGTTCCAATTGTCGCGTTTGCTCAGCCTGGCCGCCAGCGAGCTGGCCGCCAGGCGTCTATTATTTTGTCAATTCAAGCTTGAGAATTTGGATGTGAATGTTCCATTCATGGCACCATGTTGAGCTATGGCTATGTTCTGAATCATCATACAACACAACATAAGTCCCTGCCAGCGAGCATGAATGCCCTCCTAGCGTTGCCAAAAAGAAGCCTCGTGGGAATAACACAGTAACAAGGTTCAACATGTCCGTGCCAGCGAGCAAGAATGCCCTGCTAGCGTTTTACATGTCCGTGCCAGCGAGCATGAATGCCCTGCTAGCGTTGCCAAAAAAAACCTCGTGGGAATAACACAGTAGCAGAGTAGCAAGATTCAACATGTCCCTGCCAGCGAGCATGAATGCCCTGCTAGCGTCGCCAAGAAGACCCATAATAGTACTAGACTAAACCTGTATTTTCCACAATTGCTCAACATGTGCCACAATGTGTTATAGGATGCAGTTCCTGCCAGCAAAGCAAAACACCGAACAGTCCTCCGGGCGCCTGTCGAAGCGGAAGAAGAACAGCCAGCAACAGCAGCAGCAGCAGCAGCAGCAGCAACCAGCAGGGAGTAGCAGCAACAGCAACAACCAAAGAGCAGCAGTGGAGTTGAAGGGAGGGGGAATTTAAATGCAATCATCGAAAGCAAGCCCTGGAGGCTTCCATCGCCCCTAACATACTTTTTCCAAAGCACAAGCAAAGAAAATGCGTTGCCAATGTTACTTGTTTCCGATTGCCATCAATGCAAACATCGACATCGCCCAATATGACCCACTGCCTCGGCGCGGCGGTGTCTTTGAGCCCGTCTCGTTCTTGAAGAGCGTTTCTCCTGGAAAGCGAGGGGAGAGATGCGCGTCGAAGATGTTCGAAGAAAGCTTCTACGTTGGAGATTGATTGTATTGTCTCATCGCTGATTTTTCTTGAGACCACTTTCTCATGTCCAAGACCACGCGAACACGTAAACATATACGGAAAGAATATTGAACAAATCATTGATCAGGGCGGGTCGCCATGAAGACCTGGGTCCTGTTCAGTAAACCAGAAACCCATCAACGATTTTTAAACTGCGTCCTGTGAAGGCAATGGCAAATGGTTATGAGGGGTCTCAGACCTTATTGCTTGTCATTTAACCACGTTCCACCCTGCACGAGCCGGAAATAGAGACGAATCCAGCGAGTTGCTCAAGCAGGTTCAGTCAAACCCCTCGCCTCCTGGCAGCTGAATGCACCATCCTTTCTTGCATTTCCAAGAAATCACGGAGCCTTTGCTGTTGCGCCATACGTAGTCCTGACGAAAGGTAGCAGGCCCAAGGACTGCAAGCTAAAGGATTGCAGGGCAGAGGCGGACACAGGCAACCCAGAGCTGGGAGACAAATGTAAATTTAAAGGACTTCGAGTCTGAGGTCGGCACTGCGAGGCGGACACAGCAGTCCACACAAGGCGGACAAACATATAATCATTGGGGACCCGAACAGTATTGTGTTTTGGGAAAAATCACGTGACCCTTGAGGACTTTAGTATAATAATGGTCGGCGCAGCCCTGAGAAGGGAGACAAGACGGACACACAACCAAAGGAAACAGAAGGGGGACAAGACGGAGAGAACCCCAAACAGTAAGCGGAAGGCCGGACACCAGGGAGACACATGAATTAACTAGAAAGGGCACCGCAGGCACCGGACCTGGGAGACACGAGTACAGAAATCGAGGAAACAAATTAAAGTAGAAATGCTGCATGGCCAGAAAAAAAGGGCGGACACCAGCAGTGACAGTGGGAGACACATGAACAGAAATGCTGCATGGCCTGCGGAAAAGGGCGGACATCAGCAGTGACAGTGGGAAACAAATAATCAGCAGTGACAGTGGAAATGCTGCATGGCCAGCGGAAAAGGGCGGAGCAGCGACAGCGGGAGACACCTGAATAGAAATGCAGCAGGGCCACCGAAAAAGGGCGGACACCAGTGGGAGACAAATGAATTAACAGAAAGCATGGCCAGCGGAAAAGGGCGGACGCCAGCAGTGACAGTGGGAGAAAAATGAATTGCATGGCCAGCGGAACAGGGCGGACCCCAGCAGTACAAGCACCGGACCTGGGAAACAATAGAAACCAATCCATTAGGCCGTGGGGTCGTTGACTTAAAGCTTCGCCTCTGTGCAGTAGATTGCACCGCGCCTACCTGTGGCATGGTCGCCGCCTCTATGGAGCTGCTCGAGGGACTCGTGAGAAGGACTCTGCGCGACTCACATAGAAAGGATTCTGCCAGAAAAACTCGGCGCCACGGTCTCGCAGAGAAGGACAAAATCACAGTTTCGGGTGGTCGTAGGGCGGGTTTATTGTTTTTTGAAAGGCAAAAACGCAGTTTCGCAGCTCAAAGCTATGTTTTCGCCTTTCAAAGAACAAACACAGCCCCACGACAACCCGAAACTGTGATTTTGCTTTTCTCTGCTCGACGGGTGCTCGGTGGTACTCTGGTAGTAGTAGTAGTAGTAGTAGTAGTAGTAGTGGTAGTAGTAGTAGTGGTAGTAGTCGTAGTAGTAGTAGTAGTAGTGGTAGTAGTAGCAGTAGTGGTAGTAGTAGAAACAAAAATCAAAACCACATTTTCGGGTGGTCGTGGGGCTGATTTGTTCTTCGAAAAGCGAAAACACATCTTTGAGCTGCGAAACTGCGTTTTTGCCTTTCAAAAAACAAAGAACCCGCCCTACGACCACCCGAAACTGTGATTTTGGCTTCCTCTGCGCGACCGTGGCACAGAGTCGGCAGAGTCCTTCCCTTCTTCCAATCCCTCGTAGCACAGACAGAATCCTCCCTATGAGGCCTGGATAAGGCGTTGTTCTTCTAAGTGCCACAAGGGCTTGTAGGAGGGACTCTCATTCTGTGATCGGAGGTCTCTGTGCTGCAAGGCCCTAAAAGAAGGATTCTGTGCTACGAGGGCTTGTAAGGAGGACACTGTGCGAGGTACGAGGCCTGAAGAAGAGAAGGACTCTGAGCCACGGTCGCGCAGAGAAAGGCAAAATCACAGGGTCGTGGGAAAGGTAAAAAACGCAGTTTCGCAGCTCAAAGCTGTGTTTTCGCCTCACAAAGAACAAAAACAGCCCCGCAACCACCTGAAAGTATGATTTTGCTGCGCTTTTGTTCTCTGCTCGACGGTTGCTCGGTGGTACGGGTGGTAGTAGTAGTAGTAGTAGTGGTAGTAGTAGTAGTAGTTGTAGTTGTAGTAGTGGTAGTGGTAGTAGTAGTTGTAGTAGTAGTACTAGTAGTGGTAGTGGTAGTGGTAGTGGTAGTGGTAGTAGTAGTAGTAGTAGCAGTAGCAGTAGCAGTAGCAGTAGTAGTAGTTAGTAGTAGTTAGTAGTAGTTAGTAGTAGTTAGTAGTAGTTAGTAGTAGTTCGTAGTAGTTCGTAGTAGTTCGTAGCAGTTAGTAGCAGTTGGTAGTAGTTGGTAGTAGTTGGTAGTAGTTGGTAGTAGGTAGTAGTAGGTAGTAGTAG